AAAACTGCCACAAAATACCGTGGGACTGTTTGGCACTTGTGGTCATGGAAATAAAAGTTGCAAATGGAGCCTTTGAGTTTTCCCAAGCAAATAGAAAAGAACCCGATGTGCTTCCGAGCAATGCACCTTCTGGCAGCTCTGAGCTCAGGGCTGAAAGCGTTGCTAGCAGAGCGCTCAGCCTTTGGCTTTCCGCAGAGGGAAGGAAGGTGGATTGTTTTTTTCCAGCAATGAAATTTCCTATTGAAAAATGGAATGCTTCCTCGTCGTGCTTGTGAATGGGACGCCCGTGAAGCTGAGCACATTGCTTCCAATTACAGGCACGGCGAGGCCAAGCGCTGCAGCCAGGCAGGAATGTGTACCTTTTCATATGCTCTGAAAAGATAAAACCTTTTTTTTTTTTTAATTTTTTTTTTTTTTTTTTTTTAATGTATGTAATGTATTACAAGCAGGAGCGCAGCCAGCTGGGCTCCTTTTGATTTGTTCTCATGTTAGCATCGAAGGGAAATGTGCCTAATGTCACAGATTAGTCCAACTTGCTAGCAAAAAACGAGCGCCGAGGAATGGTGCTCGTTCCTCCCCTTCACATCACCTCCAGGGGTGTCTTGAATTGCCAGAGAACTGCACTTGTGTTTCCCTGTACTCCAGCTGTCTGGATGGGCACTTTGGAACTGCACACATCTCCTTGGGAATTCTGTTCTTGGATTTCTGGATTTTTCCATTTGTGTCCAAAATTTTCATTTCCTGGGCATGGTTTCCATATGGGAGGAGAGAGGATAGAGTCATAGAATGTCTTGGGTTGGGAGGAACCTCGAGCATCACCTAGTTCCAAGATACATTGGTGTATGAGCTACTGGGCAGGCAGGACCTGTGTCTGACTGTGATGAAATGACAGTGGCATCATCAAAAACCAGAAGGGTCTTGGGGGCCATGAGCCACCTGCATACCACGTGCTCAGGGACAGTAGCAAGAAACCTGTGTCCTTCCTTTGGTGTGATGGATCACATGGTGCCCTGTGTCCAGCTATGGGGATTCCCCGTAGTGCTGTTTGTTTTTTTATCCTAGTGGGTCTTCCAGTGCCCCCACAAATCCTTCAGCAAGAAGCAGGGGAAACCATCCCTGTTTGCTCATCAAAAGCAAGGACGCTCTGCTAGCTTGTTTGGTGACCTTGTTTGTCTGAAGGGAGCCTGGTGGTGGCCATACAAGAGAAGGATTGGACATTGCAAGGCCGTGAAGAAGCAGGCTCCTCCAAGCATCCCAGCAGGAGGGAACTGGGAGAGATGGAATCTGCATTGCCAGCATTGCTTCTTCGTGGCTCTGCACCCTGCCTAGGCAGTGCAATCTCCCCATGGTGCAGGGCAGCAGGAATGGCTTTTAGGGCACTGTGATGGTGCAGCCCCGGGCTCCAGCTGCCATCTGGAGATAGCCAATAACCATAAGGACCTGGTTCAGCAGCTGCTTCGCATGCACACGTGTTCCTCTGTGTGCATTGGGCTGGTGGGTGCTGTGGGATCAGGCTGCTGCTTTCCCACCTTCTTGCTGTGTGCGATCAGAGCTTGTAGGAGCCCTGCTCCTCTGCATGTTGCACTGAGACACAAAGCCTGCCCTAAAGCAAGGCAAGGAGCTGCAAGCATGCAACTAGCAGAGGAGAATGAGAATGTAATGATCCCAGACCTGCTGCAGGAGAAGATCCAGTGCACGCAGTGTAAATGCAAATATTGCGTTTGTGTCTGTGCAATTGCAAAAGACAGACATTTGGGTGTGTTCTTGAGATGCAGGAGGTGACTATTGGGAGTATGTGAGAAGGGAACACCTGGAGGGACTGAGTGAAGGGCAATGACCCATCCCAGCCCTGGCGTTCCTTCATTTTGAAGAGCTACCCTGCATAATTTCCTCATATTATATATGAGGAATATATATATATCTTATACAGTTAATTGGCAAGTGGTTTGATATGCAAATAAACAGAAACATTACCAGAGCAAGATGTAAGCTCTGCTTTCTGCTGCCGTGCTCCAGCCCTTGCTTTTCTGGGCAGCCTGATTTGCTCGATGACTCCTTTCCTCTGGTGCCTGAAGATGTGATACCTCTGTCTTTGTGTGTTTGTTAGTCGTTTTCTCTACCTGGGACAAAAAAAGCAAGGGTAGGGAACCTCCAGGTCGAGGGATCAGTGTGGTGCATGCTCAGGGGATTATTTTGGGATGGCATGGAGATGTGTGCCTTGCCGTGGCTCTGCAATGCCTCTCTGCTCTCAGCAGGGAGGGGTTTCCTACCAGACAGGCAGTTATTTGTGAAGCATTGACGTTTTCGTTCTGTGGGCAATGGAGCATCTGTAGCAGACTCCACTGCCATGTCACTTTCAGAGCAACGGTGCTACAGGCAGTGGTGCTGAAGGATGTTTTTAATTCAGAAGATTAAGCGTAAGTAGATTAAGGATGGGAGAAAGTGTGGATAGAGTCAATAATGTTCTGTCCAAGGACAATTTGAAGTGTAGACTTCCTTGCTGGTGAGGTCAGAGATCACAGCTGGCTGCGCACGCTGAGGACTGTGGGGTTGTGGACTTGTGGGGCTGGGATCTTGGATGGGCACCACGGCCCAATGATCACAAAACTGCCTTGAGAAGCAGTATGGTCAGCTGGGGGCCTGGTGGAACATCACAAAGGTATCATGATGTGTATGGTGAGACAGGCTGGAAAGTCGACAGTGCTACAGCCTGAACTTTTCCATGGGTTTAGGGTTTCCTTGCCTTGCTTAATGACACAAAAGCTGCCCGAGCGTGGGTGCTGAGCTCACATCTGCTCTCTCCTCCAGCTTCGAGCTGCTCTGTTTGAATTATTCATGGCAATGTGTGCTCTGCCTGCAGCCCCTGCCATCGCAGCTCACCCTGCAGAGCTGGGCACTTCCCCCTCTGAGCAGGGAAGCCGGGCTCTTGGGATGAACTGGGCACTATTTGTTATTTATGCACTATGGTTCGGTGGGCTGGCTGAGCTGCAGAGTGCTATCACAGCTCAGGATGAAGAGAGAAAGCTGCACGCCAACATCTGTAGCTCCGCTTGACAAGCCCTGCTGTATAAATAATACCGAGGAGCAGCTCTGCGGGGCTGCAGAAGGGCAGATGCCCTTATAAGTCGAGGCAGGAGGAAGGGAGAGGCTGTGCCAAGGCGCTGGCTCGGTGCGGTGCTGATGCCACGCACTGCAGGAAGGGCTGGGTGATGCTGTGTGAGCTCCTGGACGTGTTTTTCCTGGGATATTGTGTGTTTGACGTGCGTTTGCTTGCTTCTCAGCTCATGTTACTGCAGCTCAGTGTTTGTTTAACCTCTTGTGTGTTGCAGCGGGGAGCAAGGAGCAGGCTCTGCCTCGTCACCAGCACCTGCATGTTTTTTCATGATGATCTGATTCTGCCATGCAAAGAGCTCTGCAGACTGTCCAGAAAGGCACCTGGCAGTCAGGCAGTCAGTTGGTGTCCTGCTTGCTTAATTCAGATTATTAGCAAAGGAAACCCTACGCCTGCTGCTCCCAGAGGGGTCTGGGTGCAGATCTGCCCCTCCAGCATCACTAATTTCATCCCAGTGCATCGAAACAACCCAGCCTGCACTTTGGGGTGAGGGCTGTGGTGCTGGCAGGGTCCCGTCCCCACATGGAGCTCTGACTGGTTCTCAGCAGGGAGCATTCTTCTTTTGCATTTGCAAAAGGCAGAAAAATGGCACGTGGGGCCCTCGGCTCCCCACCCCAGCACACGCGATCTGCTTTGGGTGAAGAAAGCTCAGTTTAGGGCACCTCTTTTGTGCAGCACCCCAAGGAGGACTGGTGCCTTGCTCTCACCTCCAGCACTGCAGGAACGCAGTGTAAGTCTGCCCGAACTTACCATAATGCCTCTCTGCATGATGGAAAGAAGGTTTTCTATTAAACCTCAGGGAAATAACCGTCCTTGTTAATGAGCGCGGAAGTAATGAGCCACAGCAGGGTGACTGGAGAGATTTGGGCCATCGCTCTGGAAGATTGCATTGTTTCTTTAAATTAGAGAAATAATTTAAGCAAACAAATGCACAAAGAATTTCTGGAAATGAAAGCAGGGTACAGCCAGGATGATTTGCTCTCTTCTGTTTAATGGGAGCAGTGCCGTGAACAATTGCACTGCTGACCTCAGAAATCTATCCATGGTAACTGGTCACGGGAGAGAAACATAGACAGCCTGCCACCAACTTGGGATTCAAGTTAGATTTTCTGTTTTTCCATGGTCTTGGGCCAGTCAGGGACTTTCCATGAGCAGCACTCGGGACAGAAATCCCCTTCTGCTGTGTTGCAGCCAACACCACTGAACAATGACGGGTCTGAGCCTGCTTTGGGGCTGGCTGTGGCGTCAGTGGGTTTAATCCCAGCTCTGCTGGGATGTGGAGCAGGCTGGAAACAGATGGGACTGCAAATGGGCGCTATGGCAAACGTAGGAGGTGCTATAAGGATGGCTCTATCTGCACATGCCTGCCCAGGGGTGCCTGCATGGCCACGTGTTCAGTCCTGGGTTAATTTGGGATCCATTTGAGACCTGCATGGGGATGTCCCATGATCTGTGTGGCTCTGAGTCCTACAAGGGGACATCAAGGCTCTGCCAGGCTGGAGCTCGTCCAGATGTAAATAACCAGAAATACTGAGGCCTTGCTCATGTGTTCCTCAAAAGACATTTTTGGAAGGGATCACTGTGCTTTTGTTCTTCCATTAGGCAAGTGAGGAGAGAGCATTGTTTTCTTCCCCTCATCTGTTCCCCTTATAGGGAAAGAAGGAGGACTTGGCCACCCCAAGCCATGCGTCCCAGGGGACCTCAAAAAACAAAGGGCTGTGTGGACAGAAGTGCCATCATCCTGTTTTGTGCAGGATTGTGGGTCTAGCACATGGGGTTGGGGTGGGTTTTTAAAACTGTGGTACAGCTTGTTTTACAAAAGAGGACTGTCCTGAGCCCAACTGGTCTTGTTTTATCTAGGCTCCACGGCTGATCCTGCTGAGAGCCCCTGAGTTACAGAGCCGTATGGGAACTGAGACCACTTGACTGCATTCAGCACCTTTCAGGAGCAGCCCTAGGTAACTGTTCTCATTCTCTGCATGGACTGTGAGTGAAATTCGTTCTGAGTTCTGCAGACAAGCTGCAGAGATATTTCTTGTTGTCCATTCCATGGATCTGTTAACCTGTTCTGCTCAGGTCACGGAACCCGCTCTGCTCTGACAGATCAATGCCTTCCTTACCCCCACATCAAGCTGCTTTGCACCTCCTGACTGCAGCCCAACAGTGCTTCATTTTTCCAAGTCTCCACGGGGGTGGTGGTGCCATGTGGGCAACCAACAGGCCCAGGTGTCTGGATGGAAGCAGCAGGACCGGGAGCAGGCTGGGGTTGGACTCGATGGTCTTAGAGGTCATTTCTGACCTTAACGATTCCGTGATTCTATGGCTTATTCTAATCCCAGTGGGATTGTTGTGCTGCACCACAGACATGAACTCTTCTCTGTTGCCCAGAGGCTGGATGAAGCAGAGTTGCTGGAAGCCAGGTGCCAAACTTTCCTGTCGATGTAGATTTTCATTCCCCTAAACGTCGTCACGCTGTAGATCAGTGACTTGACACCACAGTAATCACCAGTGCTCCAAAGAAATCACGACTGCATCACCTCCCTCCCAAAAAACAAAGAAATCTCCTGTACCTCCAGGAAGGGAATTTCTCGATCACCATTCTGGCAGTGAGAGATAGCTGTTCTGCTGAGGAGGTTTGAATTCAACTTGCAGAAAGCTGGAAAAATAATTACAGGATTTTTTGTGGTTTTTTTTTGTTGTGGGTTTCTTGTTTGTTTTTTTTTGTTTGTTTGGTTTTTGTTTTTTTCACTCCCATCACAAGTAAACAAAGACTGAAAATTGTAGAATCATAGAAATCCTAGTGTTGACTTGGGTTGGAAGAGACCTTAAGGATCATAGAATGGTAGAATCACAGAATGGTTGAGTTGGAAGGGACACTAAAGCTACCCAGCCCCACCTCCCATCAAATCCAGTTGTCCAGTGCTCCATCCTTCTCAGCTTGCTCCAAGGTAGACAAATGGAAACCAAAGGGCTAAACTGTGCCCTGTTCTACATCCTGGTGTGGTTTCACTGGTGCCATGAGGCCATGCATGAAGCCATGGGCAGGGTTTGCTTCGAGCTTCCTTCTTCCCAAAGCTCGGGATGTGAGCTTGAAAAGCACAGTTCTGACAGCTGAGTTTGAAGAGAACTGAGTGAGAGTGAAGCCGGCAGGATGCTGTGGATGTTACTCTGAAACACTGAGGATGAATGATTTCCTGTAGGGCTGGCTTCCTGAGCATGCTTATATCCCTTATTAAATTCTGTGTGCCAATAAAAGTATCAGCTGGTAGAGGGTTATGATTTTTAACCCTGTCTGTAGGGTTCCTCCACAAAAAGCTGGTTAATAAAAGCTAGCAAGCTGAAACCCAGATCTCACCATCAGCTTTTATTCCCAGCATGGCAGTGGGGTGAGGGCAGTCCCCATTCCATGGGCTCTGGGCACCCCATGGCACAGAGCCCCACTCTCCATGCTGCCTTGTGGTGACATTTTAGGATCCAAGCCTGAGGACTTTGACTGGGCTATTTCCTGTTTGGACAATCTCCATCTCAAATACTCTATGCATGGCATTGTAAGGAGAATAAAGAACTAATAACCCTTAACTCTTGGAAAGTGTGGGGAGCGCAGCTTAAGTTTCCAGTGAGGAAGGGGATGATGTGCATTGAAAAAAGGCTCAGGAAGTTAAAGGGAAGAAAAAGAAGGAGAAATGTGCTCACCCTAAGACTGCAGAAGGGTATTTTGGGGTATTTTTCCCATCCTCTCTGCATCTGTGGGGATGAGGTGCTTTCCCAGTGCCTCAACTCGGTGTTTAAACTGCTGCTGTCAAAGCTTTGAGAGTAACTAAAACAAAATGTCACAGGTCGAATGGATCCTGTCCAGTTACTCAGTTTATTAGGAGTGCAGTGTAAATCCTAGGAAAGGAAATAAATGGGCAAACATCCACCTCCCCTGCTCTGCATCCCAAACGAGCATCCCAAAGCATGTCCCAAGTGGGCATCCCAAATGGGCATCCCAAGGGAACATCCCAAAGGGCATCTGAAAGGGTATCCCAGGTGGCTAAAGCATGTCCCAGGTGATGGCAAATGGGAATCCCAAAGGGCATCATCCCAGATGGGCATCTTAAAGGGGAATCCCAAAGGGCATCATCCCAAATGGGCATCTCCCCAAATGGGCATCTCAAAGGGGAATCCCAAAGGGCATCATCCCAGATGGGCATCTCAAATGGGAATCCCAAAGGGCATCATCCCAAATGGGCATCTCAAATGGGAATCCCAAAGGGCATCATCCTGATGGATATCCCAAGTGGGTATCTCAGTGCATGTCCACAGCACTCCTCTCCCATCGGGTGTCAGCGCCAACGCCGTGCTCCTCACCGCAGGTTATTCTTCAATTTGTTGTAATCTGGAAATAAAGGAAAAAAAAAAAAAAAAAAAAAGTGTTCTGGGAGTGAAGTGCCAAGCCAAAAGCACTGAATTATTAAGAGATCCGTATCTGGATAATGGATTTATGCTCTTAAACAACTTAAACAACAACTTGTAAGACAAAATAAAGATGTTTGCGGGATCAGCCTGGGATCACCTTTGAGAAACAGAGCTCCCTGTGTAAGCTGGTATCACTTTTATTATTATTTTAATAACAATAATATTTCCCCTGTGAAGCCGTACGTGAGGATATTATTTGTGTAGGAACTGGGAATGAACACGGAATGATCGGTGTATTTTTTAAAAGCACTTTACAAGTCGCTCGGCATTGGAAAAGGTACAACGATCCATCAGAGCGAGGCTTGGGGATGAAATAATTAGAAATCACACAGCCGTGGCAAAAGAAGATTAGTGCTAAAATTAGAAGCCATAAAGTTGTTTTTGGACGGTGCTGGAATCCAGGCAGTTTGATTGCAGTGTTCCTTAGTAAGATGTGAGGTGAGAGGTGTGGATGGTTTGCATTTGGCTGCACTGACGTGGAGGTGGAGCAGCTGATGCTCAGTGGGATGTGCTGGGAAATGGTTTCCAGGGTGATCCTTAGGGAATGGAAGAGAATCAACATGTGAGCAGGAGCAGCAGCAGCCTTTAGAGGAGGTGGGTCTGCTGCTGGGCTCTTCCTTATGCTCCCCATGGATGGAGGTGCCATGTTGGTGCTCCTCCTTCGGCTTCAGGACCTCAGCGCCCAAACGTTGCCCCTGGGTGGGATGGGTGTGCATAGTGGGTGCCATGGTGCAACGTCAGAAGGGTCTCCCTGTGCGCCAGGGATGTCCTCTACCCGTCCTGTAGGATGGATTGCATCTCGGAAGCAGTACCTGTGCGTGCTCCCAGCTGCACAGCTGCAGGTGGAAGTGCAGTTTCTCTGTGCTGCACTGATTAACACCTGTGGCAATTGGGCCCATTGCCCAGGTGTGCAGGCAGGTGGGATGGAGCTTGCCAAGGCCACCTGCTAACCCTGGCCCAAGACAAAGAAATTCTTAATACAACGGGGGCATTAATCTCTTAAAATAAAAAGAGACCTGTTGGGAAGTTGAGTTTTAAATGGATCTGCTCTGCCAAGCGTGCCAGCAAAAGGCAAATAACGTGGGGCCGTGGGGCAGGAAGCATCTCTGGTCTTTGCAGAACACCATTCCTTTCCAGAGAGAGGAACCACAACTTGTTGTGTCTTGTAACACAAGAGCTAGAAAAAATCCTGAAATTGTTGGGCAGAGGCCCTAAATAGCAGGAAGTGCTTTTTCACCAAAGGTGTAATTAAAGCAAGGGACTCTCTGCCCACAGGATGTTGCGGATGCCAAAAGTAAAAGTGGCTCCAAGAAGTTAATGGGAGAAACTTGAGGGGTAAGCATCCCTTGAGGGCTCTTAGCATGGTGCTGCAGATGGTCTTCCCCCTAAATCCGAGCAAGAATCCCTGTAGAGATCCAGGAGGATACGAAGTGGCATCACCCGGATAAAAGCCAACAGTTGGGTTCTTGTGCTGTGTCATGGAGAGAGAGGAGTTTCTGGGTGAGAAACCTGAGCTCTGTGGGATGTGCTGCCTAAATACAGAGCAACCCGGTGAAGCTAAAGGCATTTAGAGGTTTCCTTCTGGCCCTGATGTGCCACCCCAAGCAACAGCAGCAGCAGTGCAGGAATGCAGGGCATTCCAGCCAAGGCTGTGGAGCCCAGCATCAGAGCCTCAGGAAAATCCAGCAGCAGGACTTTATTAATTCAAACTAGTGACTCTGAAATACTGAACAGTGGGAACGATTGGGTACCACCAAAAGACAAAGGGTGGTATTGTGATATAAAACAGAGCTGTAAGTGGTCTGGGGGAGCACCTTTCATGTTCAGTGCATTTCAAAGCACTTTGCAGAGTAAGAAGCAGAATGGAGCCTATGGAACAGTCAGTGTGTTCCTGACAGTAGCTAGAGATGTTGGCCAGGATGCTGGGGTGATCTGCGCTCTCCTTTTTTCACTCTCCAGTGAGTGTTTGTACAGGAGGTGGTTGGATAAGAGCTGGCTGCAATCATCCCTTATCCCAGTGCTTCACGGCTGGGACCTGTGACCCCATATTTGGGGAAATTGGAGTTAAATGGGAATTTTTTTGGCTCTCCAGAACACAAGCCATTGGGATATCTCAGCCTCCCTAAAGCTCAGCAGTATCAGCAGCTGGTCTTGCTTTGGATTTCCCTGGTCCTGGGGATCTAGAAAGGTCCTTTCCATGGCGATGTGCTCTCTTGACTGGCTCAGTTTCCCTGCACTTCTTTTATGTTTGGGGAAATGGAGCTGGGGAAACATCTTGTGACCCACATGAAAATCCCTCAGTGCAGCTGGGCATGGACCTCTCAGCTCATGGTCTGCTCCACTCCTCCTGTGGTCAGAGCTTCTCGAAGGCCTACATGTGACTTCAGCTCTGTAATTTTAGTGAAGCCAGAATAGCATTGCCACAGCTGCAGGAGCAGATCTCATCTTCTAAAACCATTTCTATGGCTGGGAAATGTTTCTTGTGCCTTGCAAAGGGAGT